CAGAACTCCTAGAGACCCATCTCGCAGGTTTCTGAACACATCCCCCCAGACTCCAGACGCAAGAAACAGTTGAGGCGTGGTTCAAACTCTTCGAGGACCAACGCATTCCATGGGTTCGCTTCTTTCTGGAACCAGCGCCCAAGTTGCAAGGGCCACAAGGGCCACGAGAAGGGGGAGGGCAGACCTGCAGGAATTGTTTTGACGCAAAAGCGGAAGGACATCTGAAACGCAAGGGGAGTGTGATTTAACATGTAAAGGCAACCGTCTAAAGATCATTGCTGCTAAGAATCTAGGCATGAAACCTGCTTAAACGTGACGCTGGTTGGACTTGTGCCGTAACCCCACCTTGGAGAGTTGCATTCCAAGTTGCCGGTGGACGGATCGCCATGGTGCAGTATTGTTCTGCGTTGCCTGGTCCTTCAGGTCATCAAGACCATCAACTTTGCCAAAGAACGGCTTGGCTATGAGTCTCGGCGAGCCAAACACAACGCTCAACCCAACCACGAAAACCCCGAAGACCGCACCAGTGCTAGGGTGAAACCGAAATGAGTTTGATGAGTGCCGTGTTCTCCACGTGACAGTGCAATAGTGGCTGCATTTTCGAAGACCAGTTGGAAACAGACACAAATGAACATAATATATACTTCTTTTACATGTTGCACAGAATCCATTGGCTATGACATGAATCCTAGCAGTTTGTGATGATGCGTGAATTGTGTGCATTGCTTCCAGCTTGCAACGGGAATTTGCAAATGGCACAGGTCACAAGAGTATTTGTAGAGCTCCAAGTACCTCCGCTGCCTACCTTCAGATCGGTGGTGGTTGGATATGTAGGAATGCCGGCGAAGTTGTATCTACGAACTCAACCTTGTGATCCCTTGAACAAAAACAGTGAGAGCGCTGTCACATGAGTTGGGAACATGTCTTCTCTTCACGGAGACTGGACTTCCGTAGGGAAGAATCTGGTGTGATTAGAGTGACTTCGGGGGCTTTAAACCTTCTGTGGAGCGTCTTCCGGTCAAGCCCGAGGAGCGGGTCATTCTGGCCGGGCTCTCGGGTGGTGGATGGACCACCACACTGGTCGCGGCGCTGGACCCGCGCATCGTGGCATGGCAACAAAGGGTGTCGAAAGGGGTTAAGGACGGGTTTAGGATGGGTTTCAGGTTCATGAAGGTTTCTTTTATTTTCTTTTGGGGGGGCGCTGTGTGTCGTGCTGTGTCACTGTCGTGCTGTGGGTAAGCCTCACAGGTCCCGTTCAGGACCCATGCGACCGAGCCGAAGAAATCGGGGTCCATCCGGAGGGGTCCCACTTCTTCGGGTTCATTTCGGCTGTCCGACTTCTTTGCTTGAAGTGAAACAGATGGCAACAAGTTCGGCATAGTTCGGGCATTTACTTTGGACCAGTTTTCAGTGGTTGAAAGAGAGAGAGAGAGAGAGACACAAAATTCAACTGCAAAATTGAAGAAATCACAGAACAATCTTGGATCCTCTCAGGTTTTGTGAGGTTGAAGGCCGTGAGTGTGCTGGCTACGTGTGGCCTTACATCTTGCAAAAGGATACTGTAGATCACTTCTGTTTCACCTGAGGAGCTGTCCATTCCCATGGCTGGTAGCATCCCTTGTGACTTTCGGCCGCCTGGCTTTCTGGAGGTTGGGTACTCCACTTGAACAGAAAGACTCGATGAAGAGCTTGCAAGAGTGGTCCTTTGATTCAATTGTTCTCCAAGAGTGTTGGCAGAAATGACACCCCTGGCACAGGCATTGCGGAAGGCCCTGCGTAGGTATATTTGGACAGCACGCAAGCTTTCAGTGCAGGCACGCCTCATTTCTGGGTCCTGTGCACGCGCGCGTGAACACGCCCCCGAGAACAACAACATAGGTTTTCTTGGGCGTGCGCCCACGCGCGGGACGTCGACATAAAACGACTACAATGTGCAGACCCTTTGACGCTGCTAAAAGTGTGTAGGTTGCAGTGTTGAACGCATGAATGCTGGTATTTGCAGGCTTCGGATGCTCACAAAAGTGCTCAAATAGATCTAAGTAGCCGCATTTCGAGGCTCTTTGGCCATGCTGAGCGCTGATATGCTGTTTTGAGTCTATGGCCAGAAGCTTACAGTATAAATAGCAATGTTCTTTTGTTTTTGCCTTGTGCTTGCTCCTGCAACGCTGGTCTTTAGAAGCACGCTGGAAGGGTGCCTGTGACATGGACAAGGGGGGAGTCGAGACTGAGGCCATACCGGACAGAAATGTATTTTGGAGAAAGTAATAAACCCAAGAAACATCTCCAACAGCTGGGCATGATTCCGCCTGTTCGGCACTGGTAAAATTTTGTCAATGGAAGTGCAGCGATAGGTATACAATATGTACAGACAGTATACATTGTGTGATGACCGCCAACTATTTGGCTCAAGTGCCCCTATTGGAGGAAAAAGGCCGCATGTCCTTTTGATTCTGAATGGAGCATAGGATAGCTTTGTAAACCTTCCCGGTTACAAGGTTAATATCCACTCGCAGGTTATCAGCCGTAGCCGCCCTGAGGTTACGAGCTTGAAAGAGACCCAAAGTGAAGATTGTCGACATTTGACCTGCAAAGTCTAGTTCCGGATGAAAGAGCAGTGAACAGTTTTCCTTCACTGCACCTGGAGGAGCTATGTCTCAATCATCGCCAGGATCATTGACTGGTGCGAGTTCAGCAGATGCTACAGTAATGACCATTCCGACAGGATCACAAGTATCAGGTGAAGGCAGAGTCGCTTCACTGGAGACGACGATCCGATGCAAGAACAGGCAACGCAAAGAGGACATTGAAGAGATTTACAAGATCAACATCGCCAAGAACGAATATGGATAGATCGCCAAAGAGGAGCATTGAAAGAGTTGAGATCGAAGACGCGAAAGGCATTGAGGAAAGAGAGATTCAACTCGTTGAGGAACTACGATCAGCCAGAGTTTCATACCAATACCTGAATGACAAGTACAGTTGCCTACATGCTGGATATGCAAGATTATTTTCTGGACCTCAGGAAGAATTTTCGCAGTTGACAAGATGCAACGAATCCATGCACGATCACCTACAAGAGATGATGCAAGAAGACGAATGAGCAACTATCAGAATTGAAGAACTGGAACGGAAGCTCCGACTCGCTGAATCAATGGCAGGTCACTTATATATGAAGTATCGAGAACTTGCCCAAGAAAGTCATGAGGAACACGTGAGATCCAAGATGGGGGATATGACCCATGAAATGCAAGGCGCCCTTCGGTACATCCAAGAGCAAAATCAGAATTATGACGCCGCCAATCGACGCGCTCACAGCCTACGTGAAGAGAATCAAGCAATCATTGATGTTGCGAATGGCCTTCAGATAAGGATGTTGGAGCTGCAAGATGAGAGCAACAACATGTTGGAGGTAGCTCAGAAGGAAAGAGCAAGACAATGGAATAGCAAGGTGCATCAGATACAACTAGCTGACTAGATAGCTGAGACCACAGGTCATCAGTATCAAGAGCAAAAAATGGTCGAGCGTCTCCGTGGACAGCTAGCCATCATCAAAGGATCAGAACTCAGCACAGCTGCAGAGATGAATTCGCGTGCCTTCGAACAAAAGACTGAAATCCACGCGTACAAGTTGGAGATCACAGAAAGGGCAACAGTTTCAGTATGAAGCAAGAGTAGTGGCCGAAGCCATGAGCACACTTGAAGAAACAGCACGTGGCATTCAACAACAAGCAAAAGAAGAGCAACAACAGTTGAAAGAGGCCAACCTTGCACTCAACAGAGCATTGAAACGAGAGAATCTTTTGAAGACTCCCGGCCTTGATGGACGAGAAGGAGCAAGGATCAAACAGAAGATACAAGAACTCGAAGGGGAACTTCAGGAGAACGATAGGGAGTTACCATCGGAGCGTGCACGGATGAAGGCAAAACTTTGCCATGAACAAGCACATACCGAACGTGGTCGAGATTTCAGTCATGACTGGGTTGCCAACCCGCAGACCCGATGACGGAGAAAGTTCATGCTTGAAAGAAGATACTAAGTACTTCTCACAGATTGAGGAGTAGCCGAGACGAGATGTATGAATGGTATGAAGAAGCCTTCGAGAGTTATGCCGAAGAATGTGAGGAAGTACGAGAACGAGAAGCTTTGAACGCAGAACTAAGGAGCATGTTGTCTGAAGCAACAGCAGCGTCCTCATCCTCACCCATGCTCGCAACTACCAGAAAAGTCTCCAGAAAAGAAGAACACAAGGTGAATGTACCTCCATGGCCTAAGGTCAATGATCTGGGGTTATGGAAAGCCAATCTGATTCCGACTGAGGTATGGGATGATCCCGAGAGGTTTCCAGAAGACATACTTACTCAAGTTCTTTACACCATGCAGAGCCGTTCAGTCCACAACAGCTAGCAAGTGCGATGAGGAACACTCTAGATACGAAGATCAAAGTGAGGAAAATCCAAGGGGTTAACTCCACTGCGCAGACTGGCGACCCATTGGTCTATGTCACCAGAGACACCAACCTCTTTGATGTGATGAATGACTATGGTCATCGCTTGCCGACAGGTGTGGGGCCCTATCGCACAATGGGTGTGAAGGAATTGGCCGGAAAGTTGCAAGATAGCCCGATATGGCACCGCCTATCTCGGATTCAACTTGAGGTTCCACAATTCGAATCACCCGGACTCACTCATGAGTGTTGTCGATTTTGTGCAAAGCATTGTGGGTGACAAGAAGAATATGCGGATTGGAGAGGCAGCAGCAGTGAACAGTATGCAGTACTACACTTCCTCATGAAGTGCTTCAAGGATCTTGATTTGGCACGAACAGAGTGGGCTACCAGATCACCATACAGTGGTCAAATGGTTGAACTATTCCGGAACCTTCGTGATTGGTTTCCTGAGATCCCACCTGATCTATGGACGATCGGATACAATGTTAGCGTTGCAGAGCCGGGACTTCAGCGTGGCATTGAACAACTGATGACATACATGACATAAAGCTGATTCCCAAATGTAGTTCTTCTCCTCCTCAATGGTGCACATCATATTCAGCTCGCACCAATAGTTGAAATTGCAATTCATGCAAATCTTGATGATCTTCTATGCGACACTTTCGGCAAAGGTATGGCAATGAAACAGTAGCTTCGTTGTTTCGGTCAAGGTTTCGATTGCCTCGCATCCAATAGTCCGCTACATCAACCTCAGGCTCCGGATCCTTCATGATGAAATGGATGTCTTTCCACGCTGAATCTGACTTGAAGATTCCACCGATGACCTCAGCATCATCCGCTGCGGGCCCTGAATATACCTTTGGCGTATCAATATTGTACTTGTCATGTTCCGCTGCAGAGGGGGATCCATAAGTGTCGTCTTCTGCAATGCGATTCAAGGCGGTGACATGCTTGGGATCCATTGCGCACATAGAAGCAACAATCTTTCTCGACATAGTTGTCTTTCAATGACAGCCCAAATGCAATTCTTGGCAGATCCTGTCACAGCAGGCGATCCCGGGGGTCCAGCGATTGACCACAAAGCTTTCCACACCCGAGCTTTGACAGTAGCAATGACATTGGTCCTCCTTGACTGAAGAGCTAGATCAATGAGAACGGATTTGCTGTCAATTCCCCCACTACCAAAGAATTTGCTTGCCATCTGAACGCTCAACATGATGGGAGAGCTCAGGTGGTTCGCTATCTTACCCAAAAAGTTCTGTGTGAACTGCTTGAACGAAGGTTCCGTCAGCTTCGTGCTTCCATGATTCGGATACGTGCATCTCGCGCGCAACCAGATGTGAACGGTGGTACCGCCAACATCAGATTCTTGGCTGGACACGAAGTCATGCACTTCACTCAGGGTCCTGAGGATATCTTCATGTGAATTGCCTTCGACCTAGTAGGTTCTGCAGCACTGCAAAGATACCTCGTTCTGGAGACCTAAAGCCATTGTTGTAGTCCTCTTTGAGCTGGTGGCTTTGGTAGTGTAACTAAGTCGATGACAAAGATCAAAGAACTGTTTCCTCCGCTTCTGATCTGTCCGCTCAACTCGTCATGGTCGAAGATGCCTGTCTCTCCTACTATCTTGACCTTGCTGCTGTCATCAATGAGGCACCCTATCTTGGATTGCAATGCCCTGATGCTAGCTCCTGCCGCGACCGGTTGTGGAACTGGGTCCAATGGGATCTCGAATTCGGATGTCATTTTTGCATATAGCTTCGTCCAAAACTCGTCACCTTCAATGAGCTTTGTCTTCAGGTAGTTGTCGGTGACAGGTTGTAGATTGAATCTTGAGTCGACACTTCCCCCCATTGCCACACTTACATGATATGCCACGCGTTGAACATAGAGCTTCCAAGATCTGCCGTTGACTTTCGTTCTCGGTCCCGCAATAGGAGCTGGCATGTGCAAACATGAGCCCCTGCTATCTGCCCAAAGAACAAACTTGATCTCATGGTTGCCATAATCCTTACCGAAGATCTCGACAGTCTTGGTTCCCTCCGGCGGCGCCGTGGTATACCAGTCTGGTTCTTCAATGACAATGATAGATGATTCGGTAGGAGGTGATTTTGGCATGGGCTTGGCCTTCGGCGCTTGTTCTCCCACGGCAGCTTCGTCCTCGGGATCTCCTCCTTCGTGC